TTGAATATAATCATTTTCCGTGTAGTATTGGAGACCGCTTCCTTGTAAAGCTCTTCCACCACAAGCATCTCTAAATGGCAAAGAAATTGCAGAAATAAGAACCTTATAGAATGACTACGTATTAAGATGACAAGATGTTTGAAGCTACCGTTGACATTAAAATATGGATAGGCGACTAGGAACATTTCATCTTCTGGTTTCACGCGGTCTGCCATTTTGACCTTTTCAGTGAATCCAAAATCCTCAAAAAATGATGGCTTTGTAAGATAGTCCAAGTTAAAGGATGCTCCTTCAAAAGCTGATTGTCTTGCAAATTTTACTTCATTTGCCTCCGGGAAAAACTAAAGAAACAAATATCAGGTTTATCCACATAAATTTGACCTAAAAATGAAGACACCAAATGACTGACCAAAATCACAAATCATTCAAGATCTTATATCAGAGAAACAGAACAAGGTCTTTAAAGTGCACAGAGCGTTGGTAAGGCACCCATGTAGCAATGTTTACACAACGTATGATTGATATTTTTTGACTCAATGCAGCCTGAAAACACATATATATAAGAACTTCTTGACAATTTGTCAACAATATCCTATATCACGAAACATAAGGTTGATTTCACTGTCATTTGTCCAGAAAACTTCATCAACTTAATAATAGTATATAAATAAGAATCTTTCACATTCTTTCTGAAAAAAACAAATGCAAATCTTTTTCTCAACAATCATGAATTCAGAATCACATGAACTATATAAGATGGTCCTAGTGACAATCATTTCTCACTTATCTAATGCTGCAATGTTAGTTCCCTGAAATATAATATATAGAAGCAAAATATAACAAGTTTTAACAGATGATGAGGCCAAACATATAGAATAACAGAAAATTCTCAAATCCCCTAAAATATTATTTGGTTTAATCAAATCATGCAAAAAATAATATTTCAAAGCTGGTTATGCTATAATAAGCTTCATAATTTAAAATAAAATTGAACATTCACTTAGCTTTTACTTTTTCCTTACACAAAAATGCAGTAAGTTCAGATTTACAGCCCTCTACCTTTCACTCCTAATAAAATTAAGAGAAGGATGCACAACAAAACCTCTCCCCTAACAGCAGAGTGCTTTTCTTGAAAAGACAAATTGAAGGAAAAATATTATTCTAGTACCGATCATATGCACAAAGGCTTACTATTCTAGTTCGTGTAGCTTTCTCAGGAGTTACAAACTGATCACAAAATTCACGTATTAGCATCATACTTCCCGTCATTTCTATTCCTCCTTCACCATCACCTGTAACACAGTCTAGATAAATTGGGAGGCAATAAAAGGGATCCCCAAGAGGGATGAAGGTGGGGCAAGTGGAAAGCACCTGGTACAGAATCAAGTCCAGCTGTTGGGAATTCGATTTCCTGTAACATATACTCGTTGGTCACAAACTATATACTTTCGGCAGTTGATGTGTACTAGATTATAAATTCTTCTATTATCCAGTACTAACTCACCATCAACTGTTTGCCATCCTTCGCAGCTAATTCGGCTGCATTTTTTGCCTGTTAATTTTTACAAACCCAAAGTAAACGTCACAACCACAATAAATACAATAAGAATTCAAATTCTAAAAAGGTTGGAAACATTGATAATACACCAGATAGACATACACACACAGAGAATATACATTCCGTAAGGTTCCTCGGAGTCTGTTCCATGTCCATTTCTTTAAGTTGCTTTTACCACTTATCTTTAGGTGCTCAATATTCAGATACAAGTAATGTTGACCGATGATATTGTTTAATTTACATAAATTTCGTGTCTATATAGTTTTATTATAAATATATACATTTTTTGAAACGTGTCTTTGCTTTTGTTTAGAAATACACATTATAATTATCTAAATAAACAACAGAGAAAGACACCTTACAATGAACACATACTACTGTCTACATTGAAAGCAAACTCACTAAAAATATCTATCAGGATTTAATAATAGACGATTTGTAGTCTTTGAAGCATCATTGGCACAACTTTTATAGTATTTATTGCATTTGCATTGCATGTTCATTTCTTGCTTAGTATCGTATTTGATTACCCAGACTTATCTTCTTTTTTTTTTCATTAAATTCTTCTACTTCTTTTTCCATCAAGAAAAGACATTATGTTTCAGCAAAAACTCAGTGATATTGCTGAACCACAAATCTTGCACAGCAGAATTTTCTCATTCTACACCTTACACTATCAAAGTTCACATAATTAATTAACAAAATAATTGCAAATTACACGATACATATAAGGTAAAAGCTTACTTGTTCAAGAAGCTCAGGATAGTCACCGGGGAATGGCACATCAAAGTCAGCCGACTTACTTCCATCCCGTGCAACAGAACAAGTAGAACAATCGAGTCTTCTGTACACTCTCAATGTGCTGACTCTTTTACTACCAAAATTGTCATGACATTTTATTGAGGACTTTTTGTCGTTAAACTACAATATGTGACAACAAATTGGTCAGGCAAAGAAAACCTTCCACAAAACTTCAATCCAGAAAATTTAGTTGTACTCTATAGCAAAGTGATTCATTCCATTTAAGCAATACATCAGAGATTCCATAGTCGAACTATCAAATTTTAAGCCGAACAAATAAAAAAATAAACCAGGAAATTTATAATTCAGAATAATAAAGCAAAAATAACAGCCAATCTGCAACTCATTTATCATAAAATAAAGCACTTCATTATTACTGGCCAAAAGAAAATCAAAATTGTAACTGTATAACAATGGCTATGAAAAGCTGAGCCCTATAAAATATTCAAAAACAATTAAGAAGCTAAAAATTGGCTTGCCTTTGGAGTTTGAATTGGAGGAAGAGTAGACAGGACGGTGGCGGCGTTAGGTAACGGCATTTTGAAGCAGAGGGAAAGACAGAGATAACGGAATTCTCATATATGTGATAATCGTGCATGTAGCCAGATAATCGAATCTCTGTTGTCTGTTCCTGCTGCCACTCGGTTGGACATTTTACGGGTCGGATTTGAAAGTGGTTACCCAAAATAACCCGCTGCATCAAAGGCTTGTTTGGATTTATATGTTTGTTAGCGATTTTTAAGATTTGAGGCATTTTATTTTTGTTTGTTTCTAAAAAATTTAACATTTATTTTATATAATAGATAATCTTTATAAAAAATAAAACTGGAAAATTATAAATCCAGTTCTTATCCTTAAAATTTGTGGATAATGTAATAAAGAGACAAATAAATATTACAACAAAATACGAAATGAATTACCGACAAATGACCAATTCCAATTGCTTTTATTTGTTTCTATAAATACTTTGGAATTAATCATGCTTTGGCTACATTAATTTATTTCTTGAATGTTATATAAATTAGTGTACTGAATTTCTGGATAAAGTTGAGAAGTTTCCACTCCTCCGTTTCCTATTTCAAAATTTTGCAAGACATCCCTCAAAAAATACATGATAGAAAATTAGTAATGTATTTCTCCAACTTGCACGGCATAATTTTTGCCTTCAAACTAGAACGAAAATACAAAACAAATTTATTAGATTTTTTCTAAATTCGTTGTTAATAGAGTAATCTAAGTGGTATAATTTTAATATCTAAAGTCTCGACAACTTCTCTTTGAGATAAAATATTTTTAAGTGGTTGAATGTATAAACTCTTCTTGAGGGTTCGAGGGTCATCAGGATAAGGATTTGATTATTAATTGAACTTAATTTCTACTTTGGAAGGTGCAATTAAATGGTTTAGAGTGATTTCAAAGATAATAACCAAATTAAATGGTTTTGTGTTGTTAATAGGATCCTACATCAAGATGACACACTTACTAAGTGTGGTGCTTAAGCTTAAAAACGCTCTCACCTATCAAAGTTTGTTTTTTTGGTTGAAGAACTTGAGTTATAGCTTTTGTTGAGACTTGTGTTGCGTAAAGGCCTACTTATAGGCTAAAATGCCTAGTGTGGTCTCCCACCTATCAGGTTGTTCATTTGGGTCGGAGTCTCCCTTGTGTTTGAATTCTAAGTATTGTCGTCCGGTTGGGCTCTCCCTTTGGGTTTGGCTTGAGTTCTAACAGTTTTACACAAATAACAACGTCGACTAATTTCACAGCATTAATAAGACTTTAGCGATTGTTAAAAGAACCCGGCACCTGATGGGCTCCTTGCTCTTTGAATCCCAAGAGCATTTGGACTTTCTCAATATCCACGCAAATCTCTTCTCTCTTAAGTAGGTTTCATGACCAAGAGCTAGACTTGCCTTCACCACCTTCTTTCCCAATTGTAGCCCCATCCGACAATCAAAATTTCGTTTTTCTCCATCTCCCATACTGCTCATCTCTTGCTCTTTCTGATCAGATACGAATTTATTTGCCCTCGTGGTTCTTATTAATTAGTAAAATTTCTTCCTTAGTTTTAGAATAAGTGTCCCTTAATTAAAAATCAATATTTTAAAGTAATATTTCTACGAATTAATACATTGAAACTTCATTTGCTAAACGTTGGGGGCGAAATGTAACCTTGTCTCCTTTGTATAAATTGAGATTATAGCTTGATTAAGTTTTATTTAACGCATATGTAGCTTGAAGCCATTTGAATTAAGTAGGAATATTGGTTTCATAAAGTGTGGGTAGGAAGGAACACCAAGATACACACAAAGGATTAGTAATGAAGATTATATAAATTATCTAAAACGATCTGCATGTCTTATTTGCCATAATATAGTGTACTATTTTTATAAATCTATTTCTGTTTTCTTAAAATATAAAGATAATGCGACACTAAAATTGTAATATTCTTTATCGTATGACTCAATTATGATGTGATGACAATTAATTTGCATGAAAAACGATATATGTGCTACAGCCATTGGAGAAATTAATCTCAATATACATATATATATTGGACTTTATTTAATCATACAAATTCAACACTTCAAATCATGCTTTTCTTAAGTTAATCATCCCTTTGATGATTAATTTAGGGATGAATGAAAAGCAGGACATTAGTAATGAGGGAACAATCATTTTATAAATAGCGGTGCATGTAATGATCGACGGTAGTATATTGAATTTCTGGATAAAGTTCAGAAGCTTCCACTCCTTTGTTTCCGATTTTGAAATTTGTAAGACACCCCTCGAAACATACATGATGATAATGTGTTAAACCAACTTGTTCCGCGTAATTTTGACCTTCAATTTGTACATAAACAAAGGAAAAAAGTTTTAAATTCATTAGAATACTTAATATAACTTTAATATTATATTATGTCACATAATCAAATATTATTTACATAATTTCTTATATATCCTCACCTTTTAGGGAAGCTAGAAATTGTTCCTCGGAGATGGAGGATTTATGCAACTCTTTCCCAATCAATTTCTCCCAAGTCTCGACAACTTCTCTTTGAGATAAGATATTTTTGGGTGGTCTAATATATAAAGTCTTGTTGAGGGTTCGAGGGTCATCTATTGATTTGATTGTGTACATCGCTATATCATCTTCATCCACATATATAGCTGTCAATGTAAAAATCAGATCATTAGTGAAAGATAGAAAAAGATTCACAATATTTGACAGGACCATAATTATAGAGATGATCCATTAAGAAAAAGGTCTTGTTATCAACTACCATAACCAATAATGGAAGAGAAGTACTAAATCATAACCAAATATTTCTTCCAAAGCTTTAAAGATATATTACCTTTTGTGTTGCCGTCACCGAGCAAGAATACAGAATCTTTAGAAGGAAGAATCCTACCAGGTTGACAAAGGCCGCCAAGAAAGTAACCAGCGAAGCAATTTGCGGAAACATACGTAAAAGGAATTCCAGCTTCTTCAATTGCTCTTCTTACTACCATTTTATCATCAAACGTCACTCTTCCAGGTTCCATTGCGTGCCCCATCCTCGCTGGATCAGTCCCAAATTCGGACGGCAAAAATCTCTGTCACACAACAAATTATTCAGTACACTACAACAACTATGTTCTATTCAGACACAAAGAAAACGTCGGAATAAGCCACAATAGCATTGCAAAACATCAATTATTATACAAAAAATGACGTCGCGAATCTATTGTGTCAGAATATGATTCACATACTTTGACACTGAAGCTTTATGCAATTTAAAGACTCCAACACAACACAAATCTCCCCTTTAAAATTAAAAAAGAAGATTACCTTTACGTTTCCGGCTTCTTTGATGGCATCGACAAGCTTGAGCTGAAGGAGAATTTGGTGGCTCCTGATATGAACACCAGAAATTGCACAAATGACAACATCAACTAACTTCACAGCTTTAACAAGACTCTGGTGATCGTTAAAAGAACCCGGAACTAGATGGGCTCCTTGCTCTTTGAACCCCAAGAGCATTTGAACTTTCTCAATATCCACACCAATCTCTTCTCTGTTGAGTACGTAGGTTTCATGGCCAAGCGCTAGACTCGCCTTCACCAACCGCTTCCCCAAGTAACCTGTAGCCCCAACAATCAACACTTTGCTTTTCTCCATCTCTAGATCTCTTGCTCTTAATTTCTGACCGAATACAAATTAATATTTGCATCTGGTTAATATTTACATATGAATCACGTAGAGGAAAGGTGTCAGCCATTTTTATTTTATAAATATGGTTGCTTTTATGAGGTTGTACGTAGTTTAGCTTCACAGGTAACCTTAGACCTTAAATTTAATAAACGAGTAGAATTTTTCCTACGTTTGCTTTCACTTAAAAATCAAGATAGGATATTTCTGAGTTAATAAATCTAGATGACTAGAGATGTTTCAACTACTTTAATACGATGTAGTCAATTAATTATGGTTTCTAGTTACTTTCATTTCACCCGCGCCCATAGTTTCATTTCATACACTAGTAGGGTGGANGTTTCAGAGAATATCCAAGTTTTGGGAAAGAAAGTAAGGGGCTCTAACCTTGGTTTTAAATTGGACATCACCATAGCCTATGGTACAATCAGCTCTTGGATTTGGGGAGACTCTAAAGATGGAAGTTGGGCCAACACCATTTGAAACAAAATCCTGAAGAGATTGAGATAACATATGAAGTTGAAATCAGTTCTTCTGTATTGTGTTATAAGTTCTTACTTGTGTCCTCAAAATATCTTTTAGAAAATAGTTTATCTTTATGTAATAATAATTTGATATTTGATATTTGAACTTTCCAACTTTTGCTAATTCTGATAGACATAAAATTAAAAGTCTGAGGAAGAAAATAATGCAAGATCATCGACGCATGAATTTAATTAATTTCTATATTCAATAAGAATGGAAGCATGCGTATATAATTCTCACCAGAGCTTCTGCTAATATTCAATTTGAGGGTAGTAAAATTATTTTCAATGTATGTCAAAAAGCATAATATTATATTTATAAAGACTCTATAAAAAGTTTTTTCATATAAAATATAATTGGATGAATTAATACAAGATCATTTACTATTATTCAATATACAACTATAGTATTACTCTAAATAAATTATTAGAACTGATGCTCTTACAAATGCCATTAGGAGACAGCAGCGTTACCGCCCAGTGACGGCTTTTTTGTTGGCTAAATTATGCATTGAAGTTAAAAATTCAGTGGGTAACTCGTAACTCCGAGAGTTGCCCTTTCTTTACTTATGGAGAGTATTGTAATTGGCAAAGACTGTTTTGAAATGTGCAGGGTCCGTTTGGTTCAGCCTTTGAAAAACTGTCAATGAGTTTCTCAATAAAGGATACAGTAAAAATTGTATTTGGTTCAGATATCCATCAATATTACTCAGTATTTTTTTTTTACCATTGTGAATTTTTCGCCATTATTTCTCCCAACAACAACTCTTCCTCCTTCTCGCCCAACTGCTACTGAGCTTTTCATTTCCGTATTCTCTCCATTTACTCCACTATTCTCCACCAAAGCAGACCCGTGAATCCCTTCCTCTCTCTCAGTCCATCAACCAAGCACAAAGCACCCATTTTTCTTCTTCTCCTTCTTCATTGAAAATTTCAGATCATACAACAAAGTTTCAGACTCAGCCCAAACCCATAGAACACTTTCTCCATCCTACCGTCAAGAATCGTTGCTGTGTTTCCAGTTCCTTTCAGATCCAGATACAACTCAGCTCATATCTCCCATTTCGTCGTCAACACCTCAGATTCAACATTTGGACCTAATTGAAAATCTTTCAGTTCTTCTTCTCAGGTTAGTGATCTCTTTGTTTTTTTACCGTAGTTTCCCATCTCTGTCTCTCTTTCCAATCAGTAATAGGCAATGGATAGTACTTTTTGCTTGAACTAATTACTTTATAGCTAGGGTGAAAATTAATTAGGATGCAGTGGGGGTAGGGGTCGGACTTTGCTATGTGTGTGTAAGCCTATGGAATATATTTAGATTATTTTTGTAATTTTTTATTTTGGTGAACTTGAGACAGTTTTTATTGTTTATGATGCATAGAATTACTGCATAAAGGTTATTTGGACCATGTTGGTTGAGTCAATGAAAGCTGCATTTAAGAGATTATTAATTAGCTATGGCGAAGTTGATATATAGACTGAGGAAAAACTCAATTTACATCAGTAGTCCGTTTGAATTTTGTACCTCAATTGTTCTAAGTTTTTAATCTCCATATTTGGATTTCAGTAGTGTCTGGTGTGTATAAATTTGCTGAGATGGTCTCACATACTGGAATGTATTATTTGGTGGTATGTAATTGTCATTAACTTCCCATTTTTAATCAGGAAAATTGCAGTAGTTGTTCTGGGTCACACCTATCTTATGCTGTTGAAGGCAGCTTTGTAGCTTTTTAGAATTCCATGATCAATTCTCACTTTGTTGAAAATTACGAGTGCTAGTTATTCCTGCCTAAATTTGTATTACTTTTTATGCCTTTTTCTTTCTTTTTCTTTTTCTATTATGCATTCTAAATTTCATGTCATTTATTATTCTTGGACTTTGCCGCAAATATAGCTGATATCATATTCAACAAAAAATGCAGAGTAAAATTTTGGTGGTTTAGAGTTTAGATTGATACTACCGTAAAATTAGTAGATAATTGGTCAGTAAAACACGTTTTTCCTGTAGCGTAGCATCAACTTCTGTACTATCAGAAAATTAATGGCTGGAGAATCTTTTGTTGCATTCAATCAAAGTTTACTAGTTGTTGAGCTTTAGATTAGGAAGTGCCCTATGTTTAATTTTAAGCATTATTACATTATTATGGTTGCAAGTGACTGGTATGACGCTATGAATTGTATTATATTAACTACAATTCATTGTGATACTTTGACAGATTCTTCTTACCATGTTTTTGGGCTCATTTAGCAGGTATCGTATACAAAGTGATAGATAGAAAAGTTGCTGTGTGTAGTGTACATCCATCTGAGCAGGTTTTCCATTGCTTGATTCAGCTCTATTCAACCCCCATCATGCACTATTTTCTTATTCATTCCAGCAAACTAATCAATGGTTTGAAGAGGTGATGATTTGTCTAACTTATGTATTAATCATTTTGTAGGTTGATAACTGCAAGTTCATCGCAATAGTTACTTACAATGCCATGAACAAATGTACATGTCAATCAGCCCACCATCGCAGAATTGATCAATACTTTCGACGCCAGAAGACAGGTCGACGTTTATTCGGAATTGGGGTACACAAAGACCTTGTTGGTCTACCTTGACGTCGTGCCCCCTACTTTCTTTGAAAGCAGTGTTGGGTCAAAGAGGTAATATTTTCTGTATGTTTTGTTTATAATGTATATGTTGCATATGTTATATTGATATGTTCCTAATTGTTACAATATTTCAATCATGATGTTCTTCTCACCCTACTATTATTAGATGAGTGAGTCCGTTCAATGGACTGCGAACTCACCATAGGTTCTTAGAACTGTTGGCTGAGCGGGTGAAAACAACCCACGGTAATGCAATGAGAGCTTCTGACCATAGGAGGATAGTGAACAATTACAAATGTAGCGCAGAAGAAATTGGAAGTGCAACAGTTGGCTTCTAAGTACCAACGCTTGCGATCAACTACAGGTCTTGGCGTATGCTAATAGGACATACGGGGTTTGGTGTGTAACAACTGCCGTAACTTACAATGCATGCATAATAACAATAGAAAATTGGGCCCAAAAACTTTCTTTTCATTATAAGTCATATGTCTTTTATACACAAGAATATTGTTACAAACACTCATTAAAAGACGAAACAGGGGAAACAGTGTAGCTATTGCTCTTCGCTTGCCGACGCCCCCTCCGACTGCATATACCTAGATCCTGATCCACAAAGGAAAAATAAGGGGTGAGCACAAAATAATGCTCAGTAAGTAAAACCCTCTATTTGTCTGTCCCCGTATGTATTACTCTAACTGTTTCCTTATATAATTCTGTTTCTAGTTTGTTTCTACTAAACGCATGGCTCATGTTAAGGAGGTCGGCCGGATGGCATTCACACAGTAAATCACTCTCCCGACTATCGGGTGGAATTCACACAGTACCAACCCGTTCTTAGTGGCTACCGAGTGGGGATCACGAAGCACACTCTGTTTCCGTAACTATCGGGTGGAGTCCACTTAGCACCTACCGTTTCTCATGACTTTGGGTAACGATAACCAAGCATAACCGTCTCTAATCACTGTCAGGTGACGATCACAAAGCATCAGCCCACTTCTACTAAATGTCGGTGATGATCACAAAGCATCAACCCACTTATCTAATCATTAACGGGTGGTGGTCACAAAGCATCCACCGTTTCTAAATTATTGGGTGATGATCACAAAGCATCAACCCACTCTAATGGCTATTCGGGTGGTGTACAAAGCATCAACCCGATTCCATAACTGTCGGGTGATGATACAAAAGCATCAACCCATCTTTCTACCTTCTAATTCACTCTATTCTAGCCTTTTCATTCTCTCTACCCTTAGAGTAGGTTGCATCCCACAAATTCTCTACTCATAGAGTAATTGCATACACAAAGTTTCCTACTTTTCTAGGTCTTTTCAATGCAAATTAGTGCCTACGGTGGTCATCTCACTAATGCACTTATGAATGCCAACATGCAATGTTGCAAGAATTAAGGTTCACTCATACTCAAACCTCTACTAGGCATTTCATCAAACAACTCAGTGGCATCATAAACTCTACTATAGCAATGATTCTAAATCTTCTCTAACCATCCAAAATGGGGAGAAAACCCCCACATAGCACAAAACCTGCCAAAGAAAGATACTTCCAAAAAGGGTCCACAATACCCCTTTAATTCCATCTCAAACTACCTTTCCAACCCACAACTATTTCTTATATTGAAAGGTATAAACAATCACAAGCATAGAAATCTCTATTTAAGCCTCCATGCATGGAACATAATATGTATATCACAACATACATCATTGCTATCAAAACCCTAATCAAGAAAATTTAAATCTCAACTGGGTTGGATTTACTTACCTTGTTATGGAGAGACTTCACTAACTCTTCCTTTCACTTGGTTGCTTGACTTTTTCTCTACTCTTAACCAAAAGAACAAAAACCTCAATATACAATAATACTAAAATCACAAAGTTTCATAAACAAAGTAGGAATCCTTACCTTAGGAAGCTTAGG